CTCATTAAATTGGCTAGACCCACATTCGTTCCACGTGCAATTCAACCACCAAAAAGACCTGAGTTGCTGACTACGACTTCTCCAAGCTTCTCTACTCATGGCAAGGAGATAAGGCAAGAGAACTAAAAGTAGAGTTGGTAACTAATCTCTACCCTTAAATTTTTCTCATTGAAGACATATTCCTTTATTCAGGGAAACACAATCAAATCCAATCAAGGTTTATCCAATTTAATTCTTAGGATATTATTAATTAACTTTTATAATAACTTTAAGGATTATTTGTGGTACTGTCATTGCGATTTCGGCAGTAACTTTTTTTAGGGTAAATCGCCAAAATGGTCCCTAAGATTTGCATAACTCATCACTTTGGTCCCTGAGATTCCAAATCGATAAAAGTGGTCCCTAAGATTGTCCACCATCCATCACTTTGGTCCTTCCCTTAAAAACTCCGTTAAGTGTCCTGGAGCTCTTGGCTGGAAGTTTGGGCAATTTTCAAAGCTTCGTAACTCAATCGTTTCTTAACCAAATTCGACCCATAATATATCAAAATGAAGATAGGAAAGTGTAGAATAAGATTATACCTATTTCAAAGCCCAATGGTTGCCGGAGATGGCCGGAAAATAGCCTCAAAGTTGACTGGTCCAAGCGAAAATTGGAAAACTCGTCGGAAACTGGGTAAACTTTAAACGTTCATAACTTCTTCAATACTCAACAAAATTAAGTGATTCAAAAATGAAAATCATAATTCTCGATGAGACAAAGAGAATGGTACCTTTTTCGACTGCTGGGTCATTGTGGTTTGGCCGGAAAATGGCTCAAAAGTGGCTAACTCGAGACCAAGACAGCCACTTTCAAACTGTTTTCCGGCCAAACCACGGCGATCTAGCAGTCAAAAAGGTACCATTCTCTTTGTCTCGTCAAGAAGTATGATTTTCGTTTTTGAATCACTTGATTTCGTTGAGTATTGAAGAAGTTATGAACGTTTAAAATTTACCCAGTTCTCGGCGAGTTTTTCAGTTTTCGCTCGAACAAGTCAACTTTAAGGCTATTTTTCGGCCATCTCTGGTAACCATTGGGCTTTGAAATAGGTATAATCGTACTCTACACTTTCCTATCTTCATTTTGATATATTATGGGTCGAATTTGGTTAAGAATCGATTGAGTTACGAAGCTTTGAAAATTGCCCAAAATGATGGATGGTGGACGATCTCAGGGACAACTTTTATCGATTTGGAATCTCAGGGACGAAAGCGATGAGTTATGCAAATCTCAGGGACCATTTTGACGATTTAGCCAATTTTTAATCCGAAATTTTTTATCCGAATTTTTCCATAGTGTTCCAAAATTATTCCAGTAAAAAAACCTCCGAAGTATTTTGATCTTCTATAGTTATTTTCTTAAATTTTGTTTTGTAATTAACTTTTGTGTTTTATTATTAGTTTTAGGTATATTTTGTTCATTATTTTATATTCAACATACACTTATATATTAAAACGATAAGCATACTAGTATATCGCAAATAAATTAAATTTTTATAGAAGCATATATCAAATTTTAAGAAAGAACAATAAATTGATGGATGAAAAAGTTAGAGAATATTCAAAAAATTATAAAATAAATGAATTTTCGAAGTATGTTCCGAAATATCTAAGATTACTCTGATTCTGAAATTTCCGAATCAGGATTGGTCTCCTAAGGTTCTTATTTTGAGGATCTGTGAGGTTCTTTTTCACATGAACTTAGATTAATCTTATGGTCGATTAGACTATCAACCTAAATAATCTTTGTTACACCCAAATACAATAATTCTTCGAAGTGATTATTTAAAATAAAAAATAAAAAAATCTCGCGTGAAATCTTCTGTCTTGTTCTCCTACCGTTTCTCTCCTCCAAATCCCTTTCCTCTCTCTATCTCTCTCTCGATCGTTCACTCCCCTTCTAACCTCCTGAGTTTTTTGCTTTTTCCTTTTCGTGTAAGAAAAAGGGAGAGGGATCTGTTTCAAATTTATCATCGTCGTAGGAAAATTTCATATGGAAAAGGGGTTCATGCATTCAAGGAAAAGGGGATTCCAATTTTTGAAACACAATCTCAATTTTTTTGGGTGCTTTGTAACTAATTGGGTTTGAATATTATTGATAAATAACTGGATGAAATTGGATGTTGAAAGTTATGAGGGCTTTATGTAATTGGATATGCTGGGTTTTGATATTCGATGAGTAGAGTAGGTTTTGCAAATGGAAAGGATTCGACATGACGTGAAACCTTTTCTCTCTTCTTACTTTTTTGTCAATTAGTATTTTGTTTCCGTGTAATAGGAATTATTTAAGTTTATAACTTAATCTACATGAAGATTAATTTGAGAGCAGCTCTATTTCCGAAGATTAATTTGGAGCAATGGCCCCTCAATTTTAATCTAACTGTAGCAATGGTCCTTCTAATTTTGACAAAATTCTAACGGAGTTGACGAGAAGGACCACAACTGCACATTTTGATGAGTTTTCTTTTTCTTTTTTTTTTTTTTTTTTGAAAAAAATGGAGACAAATGGTGGCAAACCATGGTTATCCACCCCTTCCAGGTCCGGAGAGGCTATGGAGAATTTCACCCTACCTATGGCCATAGTCAAGCAGACTCACCAGCTCGGAGCATTGAACCCGTCACCAATGGTCATGGAATTTTCGTTGAGGGATCATTCCTCCAAATAAGTTAAAGTTGAAGGACCATTTCTACAATTTTCTCATTTAACAAAGTCATACTAGGATATGATGTTGAACAGAATTCTAGAATTGGGAATGGAAAACTACTTTCATAAAAAGAAGACATATATTCTAACTAAATTGTGAGGAAAAAAAATCGAACTTGTGTACAATGAAGCGAGCACACTGCTCTGCTTAATTCATGTCGGCACATGAAACACATTCCTTGTATCTTGTATGGACTAAATGAAGCAAAGTGATTTGATGGAAGGGTCAGAGAAAACGGTCACTTTCATCTGTGATATAAAGATGGAATCCAACTGATTTGGCTTTGTTAGCTAGCTTGTCTCCTTCATCCCTATTAAATGATGATATACACAAGTAACCGCTCTAATACATGAATTTGGACCACACTTGTTGTGTGTCTCTCCTCTGAGTATTTTGTTTTTTCCTTATTGCTTATGAAAAAGGGAGAGGGATCTGTTTCAAAATTTTCAAAATTTTCAGCATCGTTGTTAAATTGCATATGAAAAAAGGGTTTGTGTGTTCACGAAGAAGGGGATTCCAATTTTCGAAACCACACAATCTCAATGTTTTGGTGCTTTGTAACTAACTCAGTTTGAATATTATTGATAAATGATTCGATGAAATTGGATGTGTAAAGTTATTAGACCATCTCCAACCCTTGGGCTAAAAGCAAAAATTTTTAGCCCGGAAAATTTGGCTTTTAGCCCAGAAACATTTTTTCTGCTCAAACCCTTCTGGCCTAAAATTTTAGCCCGGAATTATTAAAGAATGAACTTAGGCTAATTTTTTTTCTTAAATCAATTTTTTTTAAATAAATAAATATGTAGACTATTATAAATTAATTTTATGAACATTTTAATCTAAAAAAATTTAAATTCCAATAAATATTAAAAAATCATTAAATTTTTCACAAAGCAAGCTTTCAACTTTCGCTAAGCATAAAGACACATCTTCCTCACAGGTCCAATTACGACCTCTAACATGCTCTCTTGCCATGTTGAACAATTTGGAAATGGAAAGAAATGGTAGAAAGATAAATTGGAAGAATTGTAGGAGAAAATTGAGTTTTGTGTGGATGTTTGAACAAATACATAGGTATTTATAGAGTTTTTGGGTAAATTTTGTGTTAAATAAATTTATTTAATTATTTTAGTTGTTGGATTTTAATTTGGGCCGTTAGATCTTTTTTTACCGTTAGATTTGAGTGTATTCAATCTCAACCGTTGGATTCAATGTATTTTAAAATAACATATTTTTTAAAAATGAAATTTGAATCTGGACCGTTGGATCAACCAACAGTCCTTAAACGATGGTCCTCAGATGCGGAAAAGAGCCATTGGGCTCGGGCAAGTGGCCGACATGGCCCTGACGTTGGGGTCCCACGCTGTTGGGACGTGATGGCAAGCAGCCCTCGTGGGGCGCGTCCATGAGTGACCGGGCCGAGACTGGCCCAAAATCATGCGAGTCCACGCGTGTTTGGGGGAAATTTGGCCCAGCTTTAGCATTTAGCTTTTAGCCCAATGTTTTAGGTTGGGTTGGGTGGTGTTTGGGGGGAAATTTGGCAAATAGCCCAGGATTGGAGTTGGTCTTAGGGTTTTATGCAATTGGATTTGTTGAATTTAGATATTCGATGAGGAGATTAAGTTTTGCAGATGGAAGGAATTAGACATGATGTGAAACCTTTTCTCTCTTCTTATTAATTTTTTTTTTTTGTCAAGTATTTTGTTTCCTTATAACATGAATTATTTAAGTTGATAGCTTAATCTAGAAGGAATTAGACATGATGTGAAACCTTTTCTCTCTTCTTATTAATTTTTTTTTTTGTCAAGTATTTTGTTTCCTTATAACATGAATTATTTAAGTTGACAGCTTAATCTACAATCAGATTAATCTGATAACTCATCTAAAAAAGGACCTCATATGTCCTCAAAATGAGGACCTTAGGAGAGCAGCTCTGTTTCCGAATATGCTAAAAACTATTAAAAAATTGTCATCCAATACGATCTGATTTTGAACGTTTGGAACGAAAATTGTAAACGTTTTTCCGATCCGATCCTATCCTTCCGAGAAGCACCCCTAGGTGAATAGCATAAGGCGTCTCGAATTTAGAATATAAGATTTTTGACAAAGTCATACTAGTATATGATGTTGAACATAATTCTAGAATTGGGAACGGAAGACTTCTTTTACAAAAAATAAGACACATATTCTAAATAAATTGCGGGGAGAAGAATTCGAACCTGCGTACAAGGATACTACTCTGCTTAACTCATGTGTGCACATGGAACACATTTCCTTATATCTTGTACGGACCAAATAAAACAAATTGATTTGATGGGTCCGAGAAAATGTTCACTTTGATTTGTGACATAAAGATGGGATCTAATTGATTTGGCTTTGTTAGCTAGCTTATGTCTCCTTCATCCCTATTAAATCATGAATGCACAAGTAACCGCTCTAACACATGAATTTGGACCACACTCGTGTGTCTTTCCGCAATGGGGCGTGGAGATTCTATACAACATGCACTCAGGGGTCTCTTTGACAACCACTCTGGTGGACAATCCCTCCCTCAGAAAGCCTTTATTTCTGTGTATTATTGGCCAACCATGAAAATAGATGCAAAAGATTGTGATCGAACTTGTGATAAGTGCCAAAAGTACGCTCTGATGAATCATCAGCATGCAGAAGAGCTCAACACTATATGCAATGGGACATCGACTCAATCGGTCCACTCAAGAAACCCCAAGTTATGTCGCCTTTGAGCCAGCATGTCCGAAGAAGTTGCATACTCTGATAAAGCTTTAAAGTGGGCATAAAGTGCTCAAAGTGGACTCTGACTCGCAGACTGTTCCAGGCATCCGATTTAGAATACGTCCAAGTCCGTTCAACATAGGATCTAACAAAAGGATTTCGATACATGTTTCCAATCCAAGGATTTTGATAGGTGTTTCCTATTAAAAACCTTCGGTATTGGGGTTACTAGGAGCGTTAAGTCAATCTGGCGCCGAGGGATGCCCCCTTAGGTAACCACGTTGCAAACTCAGCCTTGACCGGAAGAGTTCTGTTCTCGACAAGACCAAATGATCACGGAATGCATTTCTCAACCCCCGTTTTTAGTATATCTCTTCATCGGTTATCCTAAATCCCTTGGCACTTACAAGTCCATCACCCGAACGTAGCCTTACTGAAAAAAAGGTGAAACTTGCCTCCGAATTTGCGGTGTGGTGTAATGGAGGCCTAAAACAAAGAAGCAGCAGTGCAGCATCAGTATGAAAACATAATTATATTTCATCAAAACATTACTTGCCTGTAATCAAAGTTTCCGCGGCTTGTGCTGTTAGCCCAGGACGAGCAGCTTGGCAAAATATTATGAAAACAACAAAATCGTAACTAGCTTCTTAACATTAGTAAATAAATAAATCTATGAAATTATGCCTAAACATCTAAATCTTAATTATCATATTATCTTGACATGCGTTGGTCCTTTCCAATGAAGGCAATTAACGAAATGGTTAAGATGCATATGATAGATACATACCAAAGTGAGATATTTCAGTTTATTAGTGTACAATAGGTGAGATATATAGCAAACTGAGATATTCCAATGTTCTTTTTTTTTTTCTCTACAGAAATAGTCCTTGCGGAAGGTCGTTCAAGATAAGCAGTGGTAGTTTGTATTAAATTTTGTTAGATGAGTTTGATTTAATCTATTTACTACACACCAAACGAAGTAAAATTAAATGTTGATGGGGCAAGTCCGTCCCGAGGCTCTATTAGAGGAGTGGTGGTTGTCATCCATAATGAGGTAACGGATTCCATAGGAGGTTGTACCTAGAACGTCCAGGGTTCTGTTAGTGCGTGTGCTACAGGGCTGGGTTTGAATTTTGCAGCAGACTTGGGTTTCAATCACGTTAAAGTTAAGACTATCGAACCCAAAATCAAGTCCAAGTCGTAGCATATCTACCACAAAATTGGTTATCAAGTAAGAATTACCAGTCTGATATGGTATCTGTTCCTGTAACTAGACGATCTTGCATTAACGGTCTTCCAAATTCCGTCAAAGCAAGAAGACCCTCGCTGCAATTCTGCAACAAAATATGTTAGAACTTTTCAAATTTCATTATTGTGTCCTTAAGATGAAATCTCACCATATAGGTTGTGAATATATATATTCCGTTCCCTAACCAATCAAATCAGATTTCATTGAACGACAAAATACCACAGCATCAGCATCCAAAACATAACGAAGAAGGATTAGATATCTTCAAAGCAAATCATACCCTTTTTATACAAACACAATCCTTCGAATTTGTTCCCTCTTCGGAATCATAAGAAGTATCATACGAAAGTGAAGAGCTATGCTGTTGTTATATAAAATTCATTTTTACAGAACAAAGAGGTCTTCTTTTACTATAACTACTAACAAGACGGTGTACACAAATGAAAATGCATAAATAAGAGCAAGAAACAATTAAGAATTTCGTAGTCGGTTATAGGTCTCAGAGCAAACCTCAACATTGGATATGTTAGAACACACAGATACCACCAATGAGTTCCATACTGAATGCTCCGGCAGCATAGCCCGACTCAACATCTCCTCCAACCACATAACAGCTTCATATTGCCTGCCCACTGAGCAAAGACCCCTAATCACTCGACTGTAAGTCTCAGCACAGGACCAATGTGACTTGATCAACATCTCTTGCAATACTCGACTTGCTTCCAGAAATCGTCTCTCCTCACAAAGCCCATCCACTAAAATGCCATAAGTTTTCTTGTCAGCAACACAACCCACCTGCTTTTCCATCTTCTTCAAATACGAAATGGCAAGAACCGATTGCCCCTCACTACAAAGGCATCTCATCACAACATTGTACACTCTTAGAGTTGGTACACAGTTTGCCTCCACCATCTCCTTTTCAATCACCTCCACTGCTTCAACGACTTTCTTTTCACCACTCAATGCAGCCGCCCTTGCTTCAAAGACCAACTCTGTTGGCCTAAAGCCGTTATCTTGCATTTCCTTGAGCACTTTGTCAGCCTCACCAATCTTATTTTCATTGTAAAGATCAATTGCCATAGCACTATAGCTTGCCAAGCTGGGAATCCCACCTCTAACCAGAGCTTCATTAATCAACAACTTAACGCCTCCCGTGTCTTTGCCATTTCCATAACGACTGAGATCAAGATTGTGTCGAAACCGCTTAGGGGCCTTGAGCCCCTTCCTTAATATCTTACCAAGAATTTCGACAGCTTCGTCAATCTCCCCATTATCACACAAGGCATCCAACAAGGTTCTATAAATTACAACATCTTCACCACAACCCTTCCGAGAAATCCTCCAAAACATCGAGTACAACAAATGGGTTGCCTCATTGAGCCTCTTATCTTCACACAACCCTCTCATTAAAATCCGATAACTTTCCCTATCCGGATTACAATGCTGATAATCCATTTCTTGGAAAATTTGCAGGGCAATATCTGAACGACCCTTCCGGCACAAAGCAAGCATGAGCAAATTCAAGGACCGAACCCTAGAGCTCACCTCCCATCCACAACAATGCTCCACGAAAATGCGATGAGCAGCTTCAAGCTTGGACTCATTCACCATAATCTCCAAAAGGGTATTGAAAGAATGCGTCCAGTTCACACAGTTGAACTTGGAAATGTTATTAAACAGAGACACTGCATCCTTCGGCAATCCAGCTTGCGCGTAGGTTTTAATTGCAATTGCAAAAACTGAATCCTTGCATTCACAGGAGTCATTTTTCATCGTGTTAATCACGTCCTTCATCTCAGCAATTCGGCCAGAGTTTCCGAGAATGCTGATCATGGTGGCGTAGACTGGACCATTGTGACGGTAATTGGGGTACTTGGATTTCACTTGAGTGAAAATTTGGAGGGCAGTCAATGGATTTTTCTGCTTTCGTATAATCTGAGAGAGATGTGTGGGTGTTAGCAGCCTTGGCCATCTTATACTCATGCTTCGAACTTTGAACTTTCAGTCGGGCAATTTGTCAAACAGTTGGTGTGCAACTGCCAGAGAGGCTATTTCAAGAGACTGAAAGCGCAGCCATTGAATCACCGGGGCGGTGCCATAGTACCTGTTGGCCTGCTTCCAGATCCATTTTCGCTCCGACAGACTCCTCCTCCTCGTCTTGTCGAACTAGTTGCTGTGTTTTTTTCTTTTTGCTGCCGTGTTAAGTCAACGAAAAATGGGGCGCCGCAAGAAATTACCTCTGATCATGAATATATATGTCAAAGATGGGTGTTAATTATGAATGGGCATCGATTTGGATGTTGCGAGTCCCAAATAAAATAAAAGTTTTCATCAGTCGGTGCAGTAACAATATTCTTACGAATGATGTAGACTTATCTATTAGACTTTATTAAATAAAATCCGTTCTTTGACAAAAAATTAAAAAATAATATAAATTCGGTTAAATCACATAATATAATATAGATTCGGTTAAATCACATAATAGACGCACTTTGGTTAGCATATGCCAAAGTAGACAATTGAACATAAAAAATTTCACTCAGTAATTAAAAGAAAAGGGTAAATCTCAACTTACTACCCTCAAGTTTCATGGTTTTCAATATTAATACATGAAGTTTTTTTCGTCCCAGAGTCATATATAAAGTGTTCATTTTGAGACAGTCTCATACATCCGTTAGTTTGGCTATTAAGTCTTTCGTTACCTGGTGACGTGGCGCCTATGTGGACAATAACTGAACGTCACGTGTCATTAAGAGATCCACCTGGAAATTCAAAATTCAAAAAAATAAAAAAATAAAAAAAACACACACCTATCTTCTACCTACCCCAACCCCCTCCCTCCCACTTTTTCCCCTGCAACCCCTCTCCTCTGCACACCCCCTATCACTCCTCTCCACTCTTTTGTCCACCAGAAACACCTCCGATATCGCCTCCAGCACGAACTTCGCCAGATCGACACAATCGTTGATATGGTAAAAACTAACACACAATTAAACCCTCTTTTAGATAATTGTAGTATGCGTAAGTAGAGATCGTTTTAGACTGGGGATTAGGAGGGGATGCTAATCTACACTAACTTGACTCAAAAACTGAAAACTAGACTCAAATACACAAAACTAAGCTAGACTGACTCAAATAACACAAAACAAGCACTAAGAGGTGTTTTGGATGAAAATTGAAGTAAATTGACACAAAATACTAAAGAGGGATTTGTTTGGACGAATTTTAAACTAAAACTAAGTAGGTTGCAGAAACAAAGTGAGGATGATACGAAACTAAGGTAACTTAAGGGGTGAAATGCTAACTAGAGGGTCATTCTCCACACATGACACATATGCATACAAATTGATTTCCAGTTATTATTCCTATAAACCATGAATGGCTAGCTAGAGGGTCCTTCTCCACACATGACACATACGCATACAAATTGATTTCCAATTATTTTTCCTATAAACCATGAATGACAATGCCCCAAATTAATCGTGAAAAGCACAAATTAACTTTCAGATTTTCCTAAATTCATTGAATTGGACTAAGAACGCAACCAAATTATTCTTATCAAGTTCCTTATATGAACTACATGATAGAGATACATATCAAAGATCATTAAGTTTTGTGAAAGTCATAAGAATTGACAAAGCATTCGTAACTATGAACTGTATGATACTCCTGCCAGGAATTTACTTAACACAATCATGACTAGTGACTTTTACTACTTGCAAATATAAGTTCATAACGATTAGGTGAAATTTCTTTATATTCTAGCATCAAATTCCTGCATGCAAACTAAGTTTGCATCCTTAATCAACACACAAGAATAAGTTCTCAATAAAACAGATTAAGTAAATCGCATTCATGTTTTACGAAACAATAACTAGATGTAATCAATTCATATAAAACATATGATCATGGCTTCAAATTCACCTCTAACTAAAACAAAATTAGTTCCACATGTTTGCAATTAAATGAAACCAATCTAATTTAAACATTAAACTAAAACTAAGGATAGAAAGAACCTAGGAACACTTCAGCACTCTAATGGCCTTAGATGGCAAGTCACGGCACAAAGCTCTTCTTCTCCTTCCTTCCTTGCAAAGCTGCAGCACTTTTTATATTTTTTTATTTTGAATTTCTCTCTAAAGCTCTCCCTCTGAATTTTGTGACAAGGGTGTGTATTTATAGGGCAGATACACGGCACAATGTTGTAGAGGAGAAGGACTAGGTGCAGCAAATTCCTAGGGGGAAAGGGATAGGGTGGTTCGGCACAATCTTAGGGCTTCTAGAACCAGATAACAGGTGGTTTAATATGAAAAGGAACCCCCCTTGCAACTAGAAATAAGGTAGGATAAGATTAGGATAGAATAGGATAAGATAAGGTTAGTTTGGATAATGTTAGATAAGATAAGGTTGGTTAAGATAATGTTCCTTCCTTTTAGCTGATTCCTTATTTTCCAAGTCTTGATTTAATTTCTCCAAATTTGTAGCACATTCCTAGCCTTTTTAAACTTCAAAAATGTCCATCCAACCTGCTCCATGCATATGATATCCATTCCACGTCCAAAATTGCTCCAAAATGCCCCAAATTGCTCTTTCTTATCACCTTTGCTATTGGACCTACAAACACACGAAAATAGCTTAAAACACTCGTATAAATAAAAACTAACTAAGTAAATGCAAATAAATAGGCTAACAAAGTCGCATAAATATGCTCCTATCAATCGCCCAAAGCCAGAGGCATATGCGACCTCAGAGCCTCCAATTTCTTCTTCTTCGCCGTCATGAACCTCTAGAACCCTCCAGAATCCATCTTCAAGCACAACGACTTAAGATTCATCAGCAACCCCTCGCCGTCATCCACCTCTCAGTACTTGTTGTCATTGCGGGCCCTCTATATTCTTTACCCTCCTTGCCTGCCTTCTTCCACTTCCAAACCCTAAAAAACCAAAGAAATTCACCTTTAATTGCAAATGGGCATCTTCCCTAAGCCCTATAAACCTCATTGCTCAATCCCCACCTAGATTCAGCTCCAACCCACTTCATCCATGGCCGCATCTTCCATCTTCACCCACTTCGTCGCATTAGCGTTCCTCGTTTTCTTCCTCAAAACCACATCCGCCACCTCCAACTCCTCCTTTTCATTCACCGATTTCGGTAAAGTTTCAAACTTTAGGTCAGATATTGCTCTGTACGAAGATGCAGAGGTCGTCAATGGCGGATACATAGTTCAAATCACCAGTTCAGTGAGCTCAAGTGTCGACTGAGCTATTTACAAGAAACCCATTGCACTGTATGAAGGTAAGCATCGAAAATCCATGTCTTTATCAACAAACTTCTCGTTTTCTATTTCCAACGGTGGTGGGGATGGATTGGTGTTTGTAATGATTCCAAAGGGTTTTAATCATAGCTTATTTGGTAACAGCTCTTTTAGGCTTTCTTTAGGAAATGGTAAAAGTAAATTCAAAGTTGTTGCAATTAAATTTGATGCATTGAGTGATGGAAATGTTCATGTTGGAATTGAAGTGGGTGGTTCTATTTCTGCTAAGAATTTGGATCCAACTAGTGGGAATAAAACGCAGGCTTGGATCGATTACGAAGCGGGTTCGAATCAAATTGAAGTTAGGCTGAGTAAATTTGGTGGGTGTGCAGAAGAAAGGGGTTGGGAGAGTTAGAAGACGGGTGTGTGTGTGTGTGTGTTTTTTTTTTTTTAATTTCCAGGCGGACCCTTAATGACATGTGGTGCTCAGTCATTGTCTACATGGGTGCCACGTCATCAGTTAACGGAAGACTTAACAGCCAGAGTAATGGATGTATGAGACTGTCCCAAAATTAACATTTTAGGTATGATTCTAGGACAAAAAAAAATTCATGTACCAAATGTTGAAAACCACGAAATTTGAGGTTAGTAAATTGAGATTTACCCGAAAGAAAATTATAATATTGCATTATGAAAAATAAAATCTAAAACAATTACAAATCAAGGGACAATTTCGTCATTTTAGCCTCTTTCCCACAAAAATCCCCTAGACAATTAGCCAATGTTCTTGCCTCATAAGGAATGAATATGCCAGCAACACCAAAGTCCGCCTGCTATGCTGCCTACTGAGTGATGACAAAGATGGGGCATTTATTTTTCTTCACACCATGTCCGTACATCATCATCTTCTTTTGCTCATCTTCACCATCGTTGCCGCTCTACTGACTGTTTGCACTTAAAATATGCACAATTTTACTTATTTGAGTTTAAAACCAAAATATGACATTTTGGGGGATTAGTGTGCAAAAAGACTAAAAGTTGCATGTGGTAATGTTTTTCTACATTGTTTGAAGCGGTGGCTTTATTGCAAATAAGGATGTTGGTAGACTTGGGAGATGGACATGTGGTAGAAAACCAACTTGCTTCTTTTAATATTATTTCATATGCAAGTTGGCTTATTTTTCTATTCTTGCAAGTAGAGTCGGTGGTGGAACTTTTTTGTATAGGTTAAATGTCTTCAACGAAAGAGCTCTCTCAGTTCTCTATATAAAGAAGCAGATGCAGAAGGATTATAAAAACTCAATCAATCAATCAAACAACTCTACTCAAATCAATTCCTCAATATATTAGCTTAGCATCCCTTTTTAATACTTCAATTCCCTGCACAAGCCTTGTATTTCCTTTTAAAGCTCTGTTGTTCACTTGGCAATACCGATTTCCTTTGTATTTTCATTTCAACCTTCAAAACCATTCCCCAAACCACTAGAAATTGCCCGCAAGACTAGAGCGACTTGCCCGATTCCTTGAGAACAAGCTCTAACCTTGTATTTGGCATCTCTTTATACTTCTAATGCTTTGTACTTTAAATAATTACATTTTTGTACAACTACATTTCCATTCATTTCATTTACAAGCAATCTATAATACCAGTCATTCACTTTCCCTTGTCATTTACACTTCCAGCAAACCTACCATTTACATATTGTTACATCTCTCCTCATAAGTCCTTATCATTTAGGTAAAGAAAGAACCTTGATTTGAGCCACTCTCATTAAATGGCGCAATCTCTTGATTAGAAGTCGAACTCAGATGCAATCTCAATCATTCAAATCCACTCTACTAGCGGCAACTAGTAGTGACAAGCTCGCAACCACCAGTTTCTTGTTCGAGTAAATTCTCAGTCTACTTGCAAGGCCCATAGCAAATTTAGGAGGCAAACACGGACCAAGTCGGAAGGTTACAACTAGCTACATCTGCGGCCGTTGATAACTCGATGTTGGTTTTGGACCACAGAATTTTGGGGTTAACTATGTTTTCATCATTTCACCAATGTTCATATGGCAATCATATATATCTTTGGGTATTTCACTTA